CGCCGGCTCTCCGCTGCACTATTATGAGAAGCCCATGGGTTATTAGTTTTATGATTTAATTATTATCAATAGGTATATTAAAATAGATACGGGGCAGATTTGCGTAATGCACTTTAATTAATGTTAATTTTATGCTAATTTCCTAACGTAAAGTGCTAATCCTTAAGCATTAAACAATGCTTACACCTTAATGGAACATAACGGTTTGTTTATGTCCGCGCCTTCTTGCCGCACGATGAGTTTTGCGCTGGTCAGTAGTTCCTTTCACTTCGCCGGCCCACTTTCAAGAGCTGTTGAATTATATCGCAAAAAACTATAATAACGACGATCAGCGTGTAATTTTGTAATTAATAGATCGATGGGAAAAATCACTGGCAAAACTCGTTTGTTCGCCTAACGCCGACGATGGATCTGCGCCTTGTTGAGCGGAAAGTCAACGAACTAAGCGCAATTTTACGCTCCGTGCACTGAAATTACAAGCAAAATCCATTCAATAGATTGACACGCAACAGGAGGAATTAGTAATCCATATTTGAAGTGAACCTTCCCGTAGATACGGAACTTTAGAGAAATCGTCGTAAGCTTCCTCGATACGGCGATAATAAATTTGATTGAGCACGATTTATGGAAACGCCTCGTTCGGCCAATCTGATTATATGAATTTTAAATTTGCTAAACCATATATGGGCTCACTAATTCGATTCGGAGAAAGGTACGAGAGGGTACTTTCAAACCTTTTACTAATAACTCTCCGCAATTAATTGCGAAGTGCGCTATAATTACTCTGAACTCCGATAAGTCATGCAGGTAGCCTTAAGAAACAAATCCGACATTGATTTACCACATTAACCCGTGTAATTTACAAATGAGTTTTATTTAAATACACACGTAATACTGTTCTAACCTTGGGCTTGTAACTTGTATTTTATTTCCTTATGGTCCTTCGAGCCGAATTTCGCCGTTTAGTCGGAAATGACAGTACAGACAGACAAACCGACAGACCGATCGACTGCATCGAGATTTTGTTTGATTGCGATTCCCGGTCCTTAAAAATGTGTATTTTCGTCAAAAACTCTACTAACGTGCGGGTGGTAATACGAAATTAACCGTATTTGTTTTTATTTTTTTACCCTGTTTGAAAAGATATCAAAAAGAAGTAATACAAACCGGGGCGCAGGAGCTTTAATAAATTCATGGTAAAGGAATTGATAGGGCTCTATGGGACGTTGATTGAAGTCCTTATAGTCCAAGTGCAAGGAATCAATCGTGCTATCGAGGACTAACAGCTGATCCAAAAGCGACCGAGGAGGGGCAGAACGTTGGGAGTCCGTCAAAACAAAATTAGCCAAAGGAAGAGGGACGCTGTTGTAAGGAAGTCGTCGTTAGCGAAGATGCCAATTTCCATATTCGCGACCGGGTACTCCAAGAGAGAACCGGATATAGTCCTGGAGTAAATAAATGGTGGAACCGAGGAAGAAGATTAATGAGATAAAGCAATTCATGGGCGGTCATGGAGAAAAAGCTTAAACAGAGCTTAAACAGAGACCTGATGAGAAGTGTGGATAAAAGGATTGAACTGGCAAAAGAAAAGACCGAAAGCGTTAATTGAATCGGGGAGAGGAAGGCCGCGGGAATGCCACGAAAAAGACTAAGGGAAAACTTACAAAAGACGAAACGCTATAGTTTTGATAGAACTGCAAGATTTTTTCGATTTGTGTAATTTTTTGGCCGGATGGTCCTGGATTATGATCCTGACTGGGTATTTGCGTGTGAAAGTTCAGAGCGCCAACTTGTCGCGCCATAAGATGAAATTAAAGGGACTTAGGCGATAGTGCTACCGAATAAGATCCGTCGTTATTCATTGCATGGGGACTACCAACTGTTAGGGACAAAACCCCACCATACTAATTATAATGCGAATAGAGGGTAGGTCCAGAGACAGTTCGACAGAACATGTGTGACAAGTGTCCGTTCACGACACACATGGGTGTAAATATGTACATTGTGTAATGTGTAATAATTAAAATATTATAAAACTACAGTCCACTAATTTAGAAGAGTAGAACCGCATCATTTGGTCACTCGATCTACCGGATTAAGAAAGGAAGAATAATTTACGTATTGACGTGTTACATTAGACGGGGACGCCGAAAATTTACCTACGTGTAGGGCGATTCGAGTTAAGGGCATCGCAATCAATCAATTATTGTGTTGGAGGCCTGTCACTGCACGCGGTACAAGACAACTTTACTGGTCGACTACATTCCAGAAAGTGAGTTCCCTTCTCATTTATTTTTGTATTACTTCCTTTCAAGTTACCATCTGTTGGCAATATTATCCATAACATAAAAATGGATCCCAAGCAGTTAAAATTGTTAAAAGAGAAAAGACAACAATCAAAATTGTATTTTAGTAGATTAGAAACATATATTTTAGAAAGACAAAATGTGGAAATTACAGATCTTGTTTACGAGCAATTTTTAGCGCGTAAAGATAAATTAGAAACAAATTTTGAAAAGTACATTGACTTAAATATCGAAATCTCTACTTATGATAAAAGAGATAGTGAAGATTCTGTAGAAGTAGAAGAGAAATATTTTGAAATTATCGCCATTATAAATTCATTAATTTCTAAATTTAATACAACAAAAAATTATGTTGGTTCACCTTCGAGTAGTAATGTTTCTAAGAAATCTGGAGTTGTATCGGGTCCCGTGCCCACAACCAAGCTACCGAATGTAAACATTCCAACATTTAATGGAAGTAGCTTAAATGAATATAAACCCTTTTTTGATTTGTTTAGCGCCGTAGTTGATAGGAACATAAATTTCTCCGAGGTAGAAAAGCTATTTTACTTACGCAGCTATCTTAAGGGTGAAGCGCTGTCCTTAATTACCAACTTACCGGTCACTAATGAATCCTATAAAGAAGCTCTAAAATTGCTTGATGATAGGTATAATAATGAAAATTTGTTAATAAATAATCACATTTATAAAATTTTAGACATCCCCGCTTTAACAAAAAGCACTAGTTTAGCTATAAGAGAGTTTGTTTCTCAGATCAAGCAGCAGGTAACTGCACTCAAAAATTTAAAACAGCCTGTGGATAGTTGGGACTCATTGTTAGTGTGTATATTGTCTAGAAAATTAGATATGTACACTCATAAAGGTTTTCAAATTGATAGGGATAATACTGTGTCACCTACTCTTAAAGAGTTCTTAACATTTTTGGAAAATAGAGCTATGGCTCTTGAATCAATGTCTTCGTCCGATGGCAGATCTGAGTCACAAACAAAAACAAAACAACAAAAATTATCTAATGTTACTGTTAAGCAGGCAAGAAATAATAAACAAAAAACGGAGTTAAGGTGCATTTTTTGTAGCGAGGTAGGGCATAAAATTTATAATTGCACGAAATTTAAATCTGCCACTGTTCCTGAAAGAAATAAATTTATAGAAGACAATAATTGCTGTAAGCTTTGTCTAAACAATCATTTAGGAAATTGTAGATTTTCGTTTAAATGCCAAACTTGCAATAGCCCTTCTCATAATACAGTGTTGCATTTTGAAAATACCTCAGTAAATGAGGTCGAAGTTAAAAATAGTGTAGGCTTAATTAGCCGAAACCAGAAAATTAGCACTACAGTTCTTTTGCCAACAATTGTGCTCAAATTTAAAGAGAAAAATGGGGAATTTTTGTTGGCTAGAGGTTTGGTAGACTCATGTTCCGAGAGTTCTTTAATCACGGCTGAATTGGCTAAAAGAATAGATGGAAAAATCTATAAGGAAAACTTAACTATTGTAGGGGTATCAGAAAATTCGCATCAGGTAACAACTGCAATAAACGCAGAGATATATTCTTGTAGCTGTGACTACAATATGAATGTTCAATTTTCAATAATTGACAAAATAACTTGTGATTTGCCGCATGCAGAGTTTTCAGTGAATAATATACCTCATAATATTAAATTGGCCGACAATAATTTTTGTATGCCTAATAAAATTGAATTTTTATTAAATGCTAGTGTGTTTTTCCAAATTTTGCTTACGGGTACCATTAAATTAGGCACAAATGGTATAGTATTGCAAAATACACTATTTGGGTACATCGTAAGCGGTGAAATACCAGCAATAACAAAAAATAAATGGTGCAACTTGTCTGTTTCGTTATTGACTCGCAAGGCGCAATCAAAAAATATGGAAAACCTAATCAGTAATTTTTGGGACACTGAAAAAGTACCCGAAGTTTTCCCTGAATTTGAAAACGATCAAGTTGCTTGTGAAAATAGTTTCAAAAATTCTGTTGTCAAACTTAACAATAGATTTCAGGTTGAACTTCCCTTAAAAAAAGATATTTCGGAATTAAATTTGGGTGACTCATTTTCGGTGGCCTATAGTAGGTTTATCAATTTAGAAAAAAGGCTTAAAACTAATAGTGACTTATTTAAGCAATACAAAGGGTTCATTGATGAGTACCTACAGTTGGGTCATGCAGAAGTGATTGATCTAAGCAAATGCAATCTAACTGACGGTTCCAACTATTTTATGGCCCATCACCCCATCATAAGAAGTGATAAAACTACAACTAAATTTAGATGTGTTTTCGATGGAAGTATGAAAACAAAAAATAATATTAGCCTCAACCAGTGTATGTACAATGGCGAGGTTGTTCAAAAGCAACTTTTTGACATTTTAATTTCCTTTAGAACACACAAATTTGTTTTTGTTACTGATATTCGCCAGATGTACAGACAAATTTTGGTTGATCCTAAGCATACTAAATTATTGAATATTTTGTGGAGGGATACTCCTAGTGAGCCTCTTCAATGTATAAGACTATTAACTGTAACGTATGGTCTGCGTAGTTCACCCTTTTTAGCTACTCGATGTTTGGTGGAGCTAGCGAACCAAGAGAAACAAATCTTTCCTCTAGGTGCAAGGGTTTTGTTAAATTAAACCTATGTAGATGATATTTTGACAGGCAGTGACACGACAGAAAATTTAAATCAAATAAAGGCTCAGTTAATAAACATTTTGAAATTGGGTTCATTTGAGTTGCACAAGTGGTCCTCAAATGTTAATAACGTATTGGAGGACATTCCTGTTGAAAAACGTCACCATGACAAAATAGATATTGCCAAAAATAGTAACATTATTAAAACATTAGGTTTGAGGTACAATGTTGTCACCGACAACTTCGAAATATCTGCTCCAAAGTGTAACTTGAACAAATGTGCTACCAAACGTCAAATTCTCAGCTGTATTTGTAAATTTTATGATCCATTGGGACTTATTGGTCCAATTTTGGTTCAAGCTAAGATGTTCATGCAAAGGTTATGGTTAAGCAAATTAAAATGGGATGATAAGGTCCCAACCGATTTAATGAAATTTTGGATCGACTTTACAACCAATATTGAATCGATGGAAAATTTAAAGGTACCGAGAAGTTTAAGTATGACTAATGCAAATACAGTTGAGTTAATAGGTTATTGTGATAGCTCTATAAATGCCTTCGGAGCAGTAGTTTATATAAGAACTATAAATAATAATGTTGAAACAAATGCAGTGAATGTTACGTTGCTTTCGTCCAAATCAAGAGTTGTGCCAATTAATAAGAAATTAACGGTACCCAGATTGGAACTAAATAGTGCGTTACTTCTGTCTAATTTAGTATTAAAATTATATGATATATTAAAAGAAAAAATTAAAGAAGTATATTTATATTCAGACTCTACAATAACGTTAGCGTGGATAAAGTCTGACCCATTAAAATTAAAACCCTATGTTGCAAACAGAGTCTTAAAAATTCAACAAAACACAAAAAATTTTAATTGGTTATATATTGACACAAAAAGCAATCCAGCTGATTGTTTAAGTAGAGGTTTAGACATTCAAACATTAAGTGATCACCATCTTTGGTGGCACGGTCCACTTTGTTTACAAGAAGGCACTTTTAGCCATAAACCTAATTATATTCCTCAAATAACAGATCCATTACCTGAAGAAGAAAAAATAAAACCAGTTTTGACAACAGTCGTTTTAAAAAATGAATTGTTTGAGAGGTACTCTAACTTTACCAAACTACAGAGGATAGTAGCGTTACTTTTAAGATTTCCTTATAACATTAAAAATAAAAATAAAAAAAGGACTGATAATTTGACCCCGTTGGAGCTTGAAAATGCCTTGAGGGTAGTTGTAAAAAGTGATCAAAGAAATAATTTTACAACAGAAATAAAAAATTTAGCTTCCAACACAGATATAAAGACAACATTAAAAGGTTTATACCCATTTATCGATGATTTTGGTCTGCTTCGCGTGGGTGGCAGGCTCAGTGAAGCAAATATTCCTTACGACCAAAAGCATCCTATCATATTAGCTAAAAATAGCAAAATTACAGAATTAATAATAAACAAAGAACATATTAGGCTTGGTCACGCTGGGCAAAAACAAATATTGAGTAGTTTGAACTCTAAGTTTTGGTTAATTAATGGAAACCGTGAAATAAAAAAGCACATTCATGCTTGTGTTGTATGTTTTAAATTGAAAGCCAAAATGGCCGAACAGCTAATGGGATCTCTTCCCCAAGATCGGGTCAATGCTAATCGAGTATTTTCTATAACAGGTATTGATTTGTGTGGTCCCTTTAGTATCAAACAGTCAAGAATTCGTAAAGCCATTGAAACAAAGGCATATATCGTTGTTTTTGTATGTTTTGCTGTTAAAGCAATTCATTTAGAAGTTTTGTCGGATATGACTACGCAAAATTTTTTGGCAGGATTGAAGAGATTTATCTCACGTCGAGGAAAGCCTTCCAAAATTTATTGTGACAATGGAGGTACGTTCGTGGGATCGAATCTTGAATTAAACAAGTTGTACGATAGGGCTAAATCTCACGGTAATCAAATTATAGATTATGCTGCAAACGAAGGTATAGAATTTAAGTTTATCCCAAGCTATTTACCCGTGTTTGGAGGACTTTGGGAAGCAGGGGTAAAAAGTACCAAATTTCATCTAAAAAGAATTGCTGGAAAGGCTTTATTAACGTATGAGCAGTTAAATACGATAGTTGTGGAAATAGAAGGTATACTCAATTCTAGACCGATAACCCAAATTACAAATGATCCTTCAGATTTATCTTATTTAACACCAGCCCATTTCTTAATTGGGGTACCCATTACAAGTTATCCCCAACCTGACTTGACATTAATTCCCGAAAATAGAGTAAATTATTGGCAAAGGTGCATAAAAATGCAACAACAGTTTTGGGAGAAGTGGCACAAAAGTTATTTAACTATGCTACAAAATAGACCTAAATGGCAACAAAATCGTCCAAATCTTCAAGAAAACATGTTAGTTGTTCTTAAGGAAGATAATATCCCACCGTTATATTGGCCGATGGGAAGAATTACGAAAATAATTTATGGCAAAGATCAAAAGGTTAGGGTTGTAGAAGTAAAAACCCAAAAGGGCACTTACCTTAGGACTCTGAGTAAGGTAGCTGTTTTACCGATTAATAATTTGTAATTATAGAATAAGAATAATGATATGAATAATTAAAAGGTTACTTAGGACTCTGAGTAAGCTAAGATAGATGTTTTAACGATTAATAATTTGTAACTAGAATAAGAATATTGATATGAATAATTAAAAGATTACTTAAGATTCTGATTAAGGTAGATGTTTTACCGATCAATAATTTGTAATTAGCATTAAGAAAATTAATATGCCCAATTAGTGATGCCAACCTCACAGACGTTAAGAAAATGAGTACCTAACTGGACTTAATCTGTGCGCGTGTGCTTTTTGTGACTTAGTGCGTGTTAACAGGCTCGAGATTCGTGCTACAAGGTTTATCTGTGTGGCATACTCGTATTTATAAGATCTGTTTTTATTCGTTAGTATGTTGCATCAGTAATAGCCGTTTATTTGTCATAATTGTAGTTTTTCAATCTTAGAAAATGTACTTACCTAAACATTTTATATTATAAGTACCTACTTACAACCTTAAAAATAACCCGGTTAGTCGTAAGTCGTTAGTCTTTAGGTAACAGTTACGACAACATGTCAATGTTTTGGTGGCCCCAGCATGTTAGGGACAAAACCCCACCATACTAATTATAATGCGAATAGAGGGTAGGTCCAAAGACAGTTCGACAGAACATGTGTGACAAGTGTCCGTTCACGACACACATGGGTGTAAATATGTACATTGTGTAATGTGTAATAATTAAAATATTATAAAACTACAGTCCACTAATTTAGAAGAGTAGAACCGCATCACCAACTTTGTGGACATTTTCTGTTAGACAAGTCCGATGTTTCTGGCAAACGACTTTACTGGTGCTGTGGTTGGTAAATGGAAATGAATCCTATTGGCAAAACAGATTCGAAGTCATACTTGAGTTGAGTTGCAAGCGGGAGGGATTATGCGTTAGAGCGTGCGAGCATCGTGTTACAAGGTTCATGAAGTCGTCTCCTTGCAAAAGTATTGTTATGGACTGATATCAGCAAGGTCATTATAATATACTTACATGTTGTAGTCAGTATTGAATAAACTATTGCTTGAGTACGTGTGATTCTTCTGCAGTGCAATCAGTATTAATTGTGCAAATAGATAACAAGTATAGCGCAGTAGTAGTTTTAGAGTATTAGCTAAGCCTCAGGTTATGAAAAGGAAGAAGTAATTACGGACAGTGGTAGTTATCGCGAATTTCAACCTTTTGACTCTGTACTTAGGAAAGTATACCGCACCGCGTTCCACCAGTTAGGTGTAAAGAATTAATGTTCACTGCCAAATTCGTCTTCCGATGGATTGCGCAAATTGTGCAATCTCTTGAAATGTCCAAGAAAAATCCAAGCTGCCTTCCTTTAAGAAGCGTAGAAGTTTTCACCCAATGATTTTTCTTTGTTCGATGACTTTCTGGAGACTCGAATCGCACGCATAAATATTTCGCTGTTATTAGATACTGTGAAAATAGGGTAATCAAATCTTTTGTATTTTGAAATTCTCATTGCCGTACCCTCAAGGGTGTTAAAGAATTAATTTTGGTCGTCTAAATAGTAAGGCCCTTTTGTTATTGTTATCATTATCGTTTAAAAAGAGGTTAATTAAGATAAGAGAGTGGTCACTAGGTAGGTTACGTACGACTCTAGAACGGGAAATTTGAGTTAATAAAGTTAAATTAGGAGGCACCGAAAGAAGAGTTTGGTTTTTACTGATTTTATTTAATGTACGGGAATATTTTGACATTTTTGATTTTTATTGTGAACTATAGGGTCCACTTTCCTCGGAGGTAATTACATTCAAGTTTAACAATCACGAGCTAGCCGTCGGCATAACAATTTTAAGGGCGAGGATATAATCAAACTAAATAACTACCCGTTGTAATAGACACCTGGGGGTATAATACGAGTTCAGAAAAAAACGAATATGGTTAATTTCGAAGAAACAGAGCAAAACAAAGAACAAGCTTACCGCAGAGGGCACTGCGTATCGTAGAAGGCGACTAAATAACAGCAAGTCAGCCGCAATCCTAGCGGTGGCGTTTGAAGGGTGAAAGGTATTTGTAGAATGACACGATTTTGACTTCCATTTTTATTACTAAGTATGACCTATTTTGCAACTGTGATGATACTGATAGTAGTCTTACACGTGGTAGTACCAAGGGGCGAGCGTGAGGGGCTTTGGAACCCGTGTTTCTAGGAGAATCGTGTACTCGCGATACTTAATGGTTCTTGTTGAGACGTTCCACCTTGTATATACAACTTACGACGATACATACATTTTTGAGAGTTGGCAACCATGCAATTTCTAGGTGGGGAAAAGCGGTGCGCCACCTAGAAAGCACGAACGGAGGTTACGTTTGGCATCTTGTCTTGAATGGTGGTAGTG